GGATATCAAGTGATATGATTTTTTTTAATTGGTCAAAATTTCTTTGAGAGTCCTTCCATTGAGAGGCAGGGTCTATGCCCCTCCCCTTGAATCTGATCAGACTTGTGAGTCAAGTGGGGCCTTCACTGAAACAATTCTGCTTCTGACAAGCCAACCACCCCCACTCGCTGGGAAGCGGAGCAGGAGAGAGGGCAGGTAGAGCCAGCCTTGGGGTAGCCCTGTTTAGGGTCCACCATTGCTGGGTGGTCTCCTTTTGTTCTGTAAATTAAACAGCTCTCCTGGTAACCATCACTTTTCCTTCTTTGCCATAGCTGCCAGGGAGCTCAATGCTAAAATTTGGGCCAGACTGCAGTAACTGACCTTGGCCTAGGTTTCTAGCATGTTTAGCTCCTTCTATATTTTCAAAAATGAATATAACACTGTATCACAGGATTACTGGGAGGATTACAGGAAGATATATATCATCTTTCAGAACCTACTATCCCCTAGGGCTTGTGCTAGCTGCTTAAAACAAAACTCTGTGGTATTATTCCCATTCTGCAGATGGGGAAATATAGCCGCATACAGAGGCCAAGTGATTTGCTCAAAGTCACACAGCAAGCAGGTATAGGAAATGGACTACACTTGAATGCTTTTCTTAGATCTAAAAGATAATGCATGTGTGAGAGCACCTAAATCAACAATGGTTTCCTTCCTTCCACCTTCGGCCTCCCTCAGCCCATCTGAACACCCCTCAGCTGGAGCACTTCTCACCCTGCACTGGGACTATCAATTTACCCTCTCAATTGTGGGCTGGACTGGAGTGAATCACCTGTAAAATCGCCCCAGGCAGGACCTAGCACTCAGTAAATGTTTGCTGAGCGAATGAAACCTCACCACTGGTATTCCATCACTCATTTTAAAGCTTTCATTCATCCCACAAATAGGCACTGAGCACCTACTCTGAAGATCCAGGCACTGCAGTAAGTCCTCTGTGAACGTAACTTTGGTTAATCCTACCAATCACTGTGTGCTTGCTGTAAACAAAAAATTTAAAGGAGGAATCTAAAACAGTGGTTGTCAAACTCCAGCGGGTATCAGGATCTCCTGGAGGACTGCTGAACACAATGCTGTGCTCCCCTCCGTTTCTGATTCAGTACGTCTGTGGTGGGGCCCTAGAAACTGCATTTCTAATAAACACCCAGGAGATGCTGATGCTGCTGGCCGCTGGTCCACACTCTGAGAACCACAGCTAGTAAGTGGTGAGGCCTCAGTCTAAACCCAGGTCTGTCTAACTGCCCAGGCTCTTACACACAATCCCTAGTGCTTCTTAACCTGAGAGCAGAGCAAGTGGCATGAAGGAGGCCTTTAGCTAAGTTCTGTTTGCACAGCTTGGGGAGAAAGGCAGTCATCCCCTCTGGTCTTTCCTGCTGCCCCCGACCCTGACCCCAGGTGTGCCTGCCTGGAGGCTACTGAGAGTTATGGCCTAGAGCTGGTCCTGAGACCCTTCCTCCTACTTCTCAACTCCTCTCCTGGCTGATTCCCACGACTCATAAGATTAAGTGATCAACACTTACCTGTGTATTTGGGGGAAGGCTGGTGTAATGATGATCTGCCAAAGATGTCAGGTCCAATCCCAAGTTTTTTTAAAAGAGGGAAGCAGCAGGAGACTTGATACAGAAGAAAAAGGGACAGTGTGACAAAGGCAGAGATTGGAGTGGTGCGCCCACCAGAGGCTGGATGACGCAGGAACGGATTCTCCTCTAGAGGTCTGGAAGGGAGCACAGCTTTGCTCACACCTTGATTTCAGCTCAGTGAAACTGATTGCCAACTTCTGGTTTCCAGAACCCTGAGAGAATGAATTTCTGTTGTTTTCAGCCACCAAGTTGGTGGAAATTTGTTACAGCAGCTCCAGAACACTCATACAGCTGGGGGAAAGGTCTGGGCCGCACCTCAGGCTCAGTCCACTGTGTCCCCCAGGATCTCGCTCACACCTTCACCTCGGTGGCACTCTGTCCCTAGGGGGCTGGGATTGGAGGCCCTGTGGTGGGAAGGATCTAGCCATGAAGGACTATTTCTTCCTTTGAAGGCTTCTCCAGGCTCCAGGGAGTTGCCAAGGGAAACTGGGGTGAAGGCAGGAGGAGAAAGGGTGGGCATGGTGGGAGACAGGTGTTGGAGGCATTGGGGAAGGGAGCCTGGTGTTGGGATTACAGAGGATGACTAGGTGCAGGTCGCTCTGTCGGGGGAGAAGGAAGGGGAAGCCATGACAGCACAGGGGTTGGGGTGACTGTGGAGAGGTCCTGTTGTGTGACAGACCTTCCCTGATGGGGAAGGTCTATGTTCAGTCATGCCCATCTGGTGGCCTCCAAGATCTTAAGGTTCTAGGGGTGGCCACACGGCTGGTTACCAATCATGCTCAGCAAGTGCACGGTTGCCATGGCAACCAGGACAGGTGCTCAGGAAACCGAGACCTTAGACACAGAGTCTGAGGAAACCTAGGCTGCTGGCAGAGCCTTAGGAATTGAGACCTAGGCCCCCACACACACGGTGTCAGTCCTTCAACCTGAGAAAATCCCCAGTGCCCAGTAGATTCCCCGCTGGCATCCCAGGCAGAAGAAAGGCTGTTACTCTGGCAACAAAGGATTGAGGCTGGGTTGGTTTGGGGCCAGAAAGATAGAGGGGACTGCAGGCAGGGTCTGGGTAGCCCAGAAGAAAGTGAACTTGGTGGACACCTGGGTACCAGTTTTTCTGCCCAGAGAGTGTGTGAAGAGAGGACAGAGAAACCCACTCATCATGTGGTCCTGACCGCTCTTTCCTTCACATTAGGAGTGGAAGTTCCCCTGACTTTGTTCTGGCTCCAGAGAGAGTTTTCTGGATAGATCACCTGGGACTAGCAGAAAGGAGGATACTTGGATGCCACAGGAAGAGCAGGAGAGAGGCAGGACCACCAGGTCCTGAGAGGAGAAAGGAGAGGTGGTATCACACAGGTGCTCAGGTACCTTGTCAGTGCTGCCTGGAGGTTTTGCCCAGATAGATCCCAGACAGAAGCCAGTCCTTAGGGTCAGGGACGCACAGATCAAGCCACAGCTGTTGACGGGGCTGGGGGTTGAGAAGCACATTTCAGTGGTGTGGTGAGGAAAGTAACAAATCTAGGTGGGCTGTTAGGGCTGAGGTGTCCCACCTGTGACTTCCTGCTCCTGTCCACTTCAGACCCGGGTTTCTCCCTTGTCACCAACTCCCACATTTGCAGAGTGAGCCTACGTCAGGGGGTCGGCAGCCTCTTGGGGCCGTGTGCATTCTCCTCTGCCTCTCCTCACTGGCTCCTGGGCCTTAAAGGTCCTCTTGGGGAAGAGAGCACAGCCTGGAGAGGGAGCACAGTAGGGGAGCCACAGACAGGACCCCAAAGGGAGGGAGTCTGAACCTTGAAGCCAATGCTGAAGTCATCAAGTGGGCAGGTCAACATGGATGGACCTTGAAGGCATTATGCTAAGTAAAATAAGTCAGACAGAAAAAAACAAATATTGTATGATCTCACTTAAATGTAGAATAATAACAGTAATAAGACGAACTCATAGATACAAAGGACAGATTGGTGGTTGCCAGAGGTGGGACGACAGGGGATGGGCAAAATGGGTGAAGGTGGTCAAAAGGCACAGATTTCCAGTTATAAAATAAACACGTCCTGGGGATGTCATGTACAGCATGGTGACTATAGTTAATAACACTGTATTGTATATTTGAAAAATAATAAAATAACAGTTAAAACAATTTTTGCAAAGAAGAATAAAGTGGGAAGAATCACGCTACTCAATGTTAGGGCTCATTACAGTAATCAAGAGAGGGAGGTATTAGCAAGGGACAGACACACTGATCAATGGGACAGACAGAACAGAGAACTCAGAAATTAGATCCACAGACCCACACAGATATGCCCAACTGATTTTTGACAAAGGCCCGAAAGGAATTCAGTGACAAAAGGATGACCTTTTCAATAAATGGTGCTGGAACAACTGCACATCCATAACCAAAAAAAAATGAACGTTGCCCTAAATCTCATACCTTATACAAAAATTAACTCCAAATATATCAGAGACTTCAAACAACAAAGTCTTACTGTATAGCACAGGGAATTATATTCAATATCTTGTAGTAACCTATAATGAAAAAGAATATATATATGTGTGTGTATAACTGAATCACCGTGCTGTACACCAGAGACTGACACAACATTGTAAATCGACTATACTTCGATTTTAAAAAACGTACCACAGACTTCAGTGTAAAATTAGAAAATGCAGGGGAAAAAATAGACAAAAATCTTCAGAACCTACGGCTAGGGGAAGAGTTCTTAGACTTGACACCAAAGACGCAACCCATAAAAGGAAAACTTGATAAATTGGACCTCATCAAAATAAAAATTTATACTTTGTGAAAGACCCTGCCATGAGAAAGAAATGACAGCTATAGACTGGGAGAACATATTTGGAAATGATATCTCCAACAAAGTACTTATATATATCTAGAATATTTTTTTAAACTTGCAAAACTCTAAAAACAACAACAAACAATCCAATTAAAATACAGGCAAAACACACAAACAGACATTTCACTAAAGAGGATATACAGATGGCAATTATCTGAACACACATGAAAAGATGTTCAACAGCATTAGCCACTAGGAACATGCAAATTAAAACCAGAATGAGATATCACTGGACACCTGTCAGAATGGCTAAAATAAACAACAGTGATAACAGCAAATGCTGGTGAGGATGTGGAGTAATTGGATAACTCACACACTGATGGCAGGAACGTAAAATGGTCCAGCTGCTCTGGAAAAGAGTATGGCAGTTTCTTACAAAATGAAACATGCACTTAGCTTATGACCGATCCATTGCACCCTTGGGCATGAAATGAAAACTTACACAAAAATCTTCTGTACACAAATGTCCCTACAAGCTTTGTTTGTAAGAGCCCCCAAATGTCCTTCAATGGCTGGTTAAACAAACTGTGGATCATCCATACCTTGGAATACTGCTCACCAATAAAACATGGTGGGGGAGGGTATAGCTTAGTGGTAGAGTGTACGCTTAGCATGCGCAAGGTCCCAGTTTCAATCCCCAGTAAGTACCTCCGTTAAAATAAGTAAGTAAATAAGTAATCCTAATTCCCTCTTCCCCCACCAAAACGAAAACGAAAACAAAAAATGACCGTGCTTCTGATACACGCAACAACTTGGATGAATTTCAAGGGAATTATGTTGTATGAAAATAAAGGCAACCCCAAAAGGCTATCAACTCTACAACTCCACTTATATAACTCCACTTATATTCTTGAAATGACAAAATTATAGAAAGGGAAAACAGGTTAGTAGTTGCCAAAAGTTAGGGAGGGGAGAGGGGAAGAAGCGGTGAAGGCTATCAAAGTGCAGCACAAGATATCCCTCTGATGGAATTGTTCTGGATCTTGTATGTGGCAGTGGTGGTCACAAATCTACAAGTCATAAAATTACAGGGAACTAAATATGCACACACAGGCACACACAAATAAGGACATGTAAAGTGGGTGAAATCTGAATAAGGTCAGTGGGTTGCATTAATGTCAGTTTTGTGGTGGTGAAATTGTACTATAGTTATGCAAGATGTTATCACTGAAGGAAACTGGATGAAGGGTGCACAAGAGCTCTGTATTATTTTGGACGATTGCATGTAAATCTACATTATTTCAAAATAAAAAGTTAAAAAAAGAAAACAGAGGACTGTGTTAAAATATTTGCCACTCATAAAGGGCTAATGTCCTTTACATAAAAAGAACTTCTAGACATCAAAGGAATAATAGCAAATCCAAACATGTATACAGCATGTAATATGTGGCAAGTACTATTCTAAGTTTTTTGGATGCATTAACTCATTAAATCCTCACAATAATCCTATGTCCTCTCCATTTTACAGGTGAGGCACTAAGGCACAGAGAGTTAAGAACTGGCCCAGGGCCATACAGCTAGTAAGTGGTAGAGCCAGGATTCAAAGCCCAGCAGTCTGGCTTTAGAATGAAAGCTCTTAAACGCCATATGAAAATCTGTGGGTCTCTAGAAAAGACCCACAGCCCAGGACAAAGTTGTCAGCACATATAAACAATAAAGGAAAAACAAATGGGTCCGAAACTTAAAGGAGAGGAGAGAAAACTGCAGAAGGGTGGTGCAGACCTCCCCGTACCCCAGGCACCAGCGTTTTCAACGGCCTCACTGCCCCAGCTTGGGCAAGCCCAGCCCATGCCACACCTCATTGCACAAGGTGCAGACTCCTCCTTCAACACAAAATGACCAAGCCACGCCTTCCAACACCTGCGTCTCTAGAGCCACCCGCTCCAGGAGGCACTGAGGGAAACGGAAACGGGCAGAAGGCCATGCCTCCGCTTTCACGTGGAGACAGACACTGCCTCCCAGGTGAGCTGGGAGACAGGTGTGGGGCAGACGGGCTCAGCTTCTGAAAACAAAGAGGACTGAGAATGGAAGAGGAGGCCCCCTGTCTTAGTCCATCTCCCCCTTGGAGATTTTGTCAGCTGTCTGCCCAGTCCCCCAGACTGACCCAGTGAGCAGACTGGCAGCTCCAGCACGGAATGGGCAGTTCTGCAAATCTGGCAGCAATGACCCAGGGGACAAAGGACTCAGTATGAGGCCACCACCAGCAATACCTGCTCCCAGGCCTGCAGCCTTCCTGGTCCCTTGGGAAAGCTCTAGCCCTCTGAGTCCCCCAGGTGCTCCCCTCCCATCTCCCTCCTCCCCAAGGCCTGGTGAACAATGGCCATGTCTTGGGGTTGGGGGCAGGGCAGACAAAGGAAGCTAGCCCCACAACAGTCCTAGAGACTAACATCTCATTTGACAGGCGACTTCTTCCCTCAGGCAGAACGTAGAGAATACCAGCCGTACCATCCTACAGTGTTTTCCTCCGATTAATCTCAGTTCTGGGCGGGGAGGGTATAGCACAGTGGTAGAGTACGAGCTTAGCATGCACAAGGTCCCAGGTTCAAGACCCAGTACCTCTATTAAAAATAAATGAATAAAAACCTAATCACCTCTATTAAAAATCTCAGTCCTGCTACTGCGAGGAAAGCAGGAACAAGTTAAAATATAACTGCAGAGACCCACAGGTTCACTCAGGCGTCTGTGTACTTCCCGCTGTACACGCACCCTGACTGCATGTCTGAATCACTCTGAGGCCAAGGCCTCCATGCCTGTGCCCACCCCGCGACAAGGCTGGCTCTCCTCTGCAGGGCTCCAATACAAAAGTGGATGAGGCCGAAGGGGAGGGAAGAACATGGGTAGAAAGAAGATCTGGTGTCCAGGACTGGGACTTTGTCTCTGGGTTCAAAGGCTTAAACCGAGAATATTTCACCCCGGTCAACTATCTCTGTGGCAGCTTTGAACTGTCAGGAAGCCGAGCTGAGGGAGTTGGAGGCACCATGCGTCCCCAACCCTGAAGAGTGTGCAGTGGATAAGGAAGCACTGGGCCCAACTGGAGCCCCTGGACCCTGGCAGGGTGCAGATTGCATCACTATTTTTGAAGAGCCTCCGAGGAAGGAAAGGGACTCAGTGGAGTCCCGCAGTAAAGTGATACCAATATTGAGACCAAGACCAGGGTCGCCTGACTGTCTCAAGTGCTTGTCCTGCTCCTCACTGCACAACACATTCTTTGCCACTTCCAAAAGTGGCGTCCCCTCCACGAGACAGCTGTTTGGAGGGTGCACCCCACACACAAGGTGAAGGTTTACCTTCTGGTTCACTCAGCACTGTCTGAGGCCATGGAGAGAGTAATCATAACCCGCAGATCACAACCACTCGCACAATAACAGCAGCTCACATTTACGGAGTCCTTCTGGTATGCCGGGCACCGTCTCCCTGACCTTCATGACAGACCTAGGTAGGACACGGATACTACTACCATGCCCACTTTACAAATGAGAAAACCGAGGCTCAGAGAGGTTAACCAATTTACCCAAGCTTACACATCCCGGAAGTGTTAGTTTAAACCACTTCCCATGCTCTTAACTACTGCATTCCACTGCTGCTACCCAAGTATACTGGTAAACAAATCAGTATGATAACTTCAGATCCTGCTAAGTACTATGAAAATATAAAGCATGGTGAGAGATAGAGGACGATCTTGACAGCGGCTGTCTCCCAATCTCTAGGCCAGGTGGTCAGGGAAAGAGTCCACGAAGATGTAATGACATCTGTGCAGACTCCAGAGGGGCAAGGAACCCTCCATGCCAAGATCTGAGAGAGGGGCATTTTAGACATAGGGGACAGTTTGTTTTTTCCCAAGGGTGATGGAAGGTTTAAGCAGGGGAGTGACAGGTTTTGCTCTGTGATGAATAGATTATAGGGGGATTCCTAGGGGAAAGCAGAAGAGATCTGAAATTTTCAGGAAATCTGATGATGAAAGGGGAGAGGGGAGAGGGGGCAGGACTGAGAATAGAGTAGGAGGACCTGTGACCAGCACTCTTCCTTGCTCCCCACGCTCCCAGGGCCCGCCCTCTCTAATAGGATAGGTGGGTTTTGAAAATAAAGACTCCTGGCCTCAGTTGGGCTCACCCATAGTCTTACCACTTCTGCCCCGTGGAGTCCAGCAGCCTTGGGGGAGGGGAAGTGCCTGGGGTCTGACGGGGACAGAAGGGGAAGGTGTCCAAGACGGGATTTTTGCTCAAGTTTGTCATCAGGAGGCAGATTTCCCCAGGGGTCACACTGTCCCTCACTGCTCTCTACCAGAAAGGGCTGGGTGGGTAAGATTCCTCCCCGAACCATCACCACAAATCTCCACCCCAGGAGAGCCTATGTTTTCCTCCCAGTTGGGAAGTTCTTCCTCACTTCCCAACACAGGCCTTCTCCAGGGCTCTGGACTGGATTACTTAGGATGGGGAGAAAGATGGCTACCTGGGTGCACTGAGAAACTTAGGACAGGCAAGTTCTGTGGACTTTCCCCCTCCACCCTGGCCCTTTGTCTCTCCCACGTCTCCTGCCCCCGCTTGGCCAAGCCCAGACAGGACTCCATCATGCCTGGGGAGCAAGAGATGGTGGGAGGTGCCAGCAGCTCCCTGGGCTGCGGAGCTGCTGGCTGAACTCACCTTCTTTCTTTCCTCCCCTCCTGTTCCCAAGATGCTGAAGAAGCCAAAGAAGAATGGGAGCAGTATTCCTTCTCCTAAGCCCACAGCCTCAAGCCCATTGGTTCCTGAATCTGTTGCTACTTGCAAGGCTATTTACCAGTGACCCTCAGGGCGGCTCAGCCTTCACACTGCCCTACCCAACTCTCACTGAAATCTTAGGTCCCCAAGGAAGAAGAGCACACCTCTAAGGGCTTGGAGGGGCTGATTCTGGATCTGAGGCAGTAAGGCCATACTCCATAGCCCTGGGAGCCATTAAACCCCCAGGCTTCCTGGGACACTGACCCTGCATTGCCTGTTTGGTCCCAGAAAAGTTCCTGACACATTATGGAAATGTGGTGAATAAATGGTGACCGAAAGTCCCAGAATTGAGCCCCTGTGTATTAGAATGTTTTGAGACCCTGCCTGGCTTCAGGTTAAACTCAGGACAGATTCCTAGAGAAGGAATGGAACACCTGCTACATAACACGCATGTGTGTGTGTGTGTGTGTGTGTAATGTGTATGTAGCATGTCCTGTGTGAGCAAGGCTCATTTGTTTGATGGATGAAAGCTGCACAACCATAAACATGACCTTCCTGTCCCTCAGTTTTAAAAAATGGAAGTGATAATTCTTCATCAGAAAGCCATTGTGTGAGAATTACTTAGAACAAAACACAAACGTAGTCTCAGCAGGGGTTTAATAAGTGGTGGATGATGTTGCCCTGTGGTGTACAGCCAACAGGCTCAGGGTAGCAGAGCTGTAGGGTGTAGGGCGGGGCAGCCCCCATGCTGCTCCGGGCTTTGGGGATAAGCCACCCCAAATCCCAGCAGTGGGGCCCAACTCGGCCAGAGCTGCGGGTGGGAGAGAGACGGGGGGTGGGGGGTGGGGGAGAGTTTGCTAAATTCTCTAATGTACTGAGTCCTTCCAGCAAACCATCCCTGTTGCTCCTCACTGGCCCTCAGCTTCACCAGCGCCCACAGCCTGCTACTCAAACTAACGTCTGGGAGCAAGACCCAGCAGCACACTCATCCCTCCTCCGCTCCCGGGGCCTCTGCTGCCCCCTAGGCTCGGTCCTGATGCCAACGCTCGCTCCTCCCCACACCTCCAAGCTTTATGAACTCTGACATCCCCCAATTTTGCCGTCTTGTGAAATAGCTCTGCTTTTCCTTGGAGAGCCACCTCTGCGCCTCTGCGTAGCCTGGCAAGAGGTCAGGCTAAGCCAGAGAGGGGCTTGCGGCTCCACGGTCTCACCTCGTGTTGACGCCCGCCCCCGAAACTTCCTCCAGATCGCCAGCGTCTCACGCCCGTCCGCTGGTCCCACGGGGCCAGACGAATATCCTTCCGATTCCTCCGACCGCGACCCCAGGGCCCCCGCCCTCGCCTTCTGCCCCGCGGCCCCGCCCCGCCGCCGGGAACCCTGGGAGGTGTAGTTTTTGGCCGCTCTCGGCGGGGGCGGGGCTCGCACGGCCTGATGAGTGTCGGCGGCCGCCACGTGGAAGACACTGACCCTCTCCATGGCTGAGCCCCAGAGCGCCAGAGAGGCCGGGCAGTGGGTTGGCTTCGGAGACGAAGTTTCCAGCGAGGTCTTGTTCGCCGTGGGGTCTTGGACAAGTCCCGTAACATCTACAACAGTCTGTTACAGGATTTCCAGGGAGAGCGCGGGCTCGGCACCTGGTACCCAACCAGTGAACCGGTGCTGATTCTGTCGTGACTGGCTGGGTTGATTGGCCAACGGCAGTTCGGCCCCTAGAAGTGTGCGTGAGCCCAAAGCCTGGCCATTTGACCCTCCCCGCCACCCCCACCCCACCCCCCCAACAGCAGGCGCAGAAGTTACTCCCATTCATATCTGGGCCACCACCTCAGGTGCTCCTCCCTGTCCCACCCAAGTTCCCCTGCTTGCCTCTGGCCATCCACAAACACACTCTACATCTACTCAGAAATACCTGAAATTTATTTCCCAACATTTTGATAATTTTTTACAAACTGAATAAAAGGAATGAAGGGGAGTATGTGGACCCCAGGCCAGGCCTTGGGGTCCTGATGAGAGGTGACAGTAATGAACACTTCTCCTCACTCACAACTCCTGGCCTACTGCCCTGACTTCTGCTCCAACCTTACCTAAGAGTGAGGTGGGGGCTTTCTGAGGATGTGTGGCTCCCCTAGAGGGGACTCCGGGCATCCTGTTTCAGGCCCTGAACTGGGTCAGGTTGGGAGCAAGTGTGGGCCCGGATATAGCGCCTTCGCCGCCTCTCCTGCCTGCGGGCCAGCTGCCGCAGTTGTTTCCGAATGGCCCACAGCACCAAGTATACTTCTCGTAGCATCTCAGCCTCCCGCGACTCCAAAGGGGATCCAGTCTTCATTTGGGAGACAACTGAGGTAGAACTCACAGATGACTGTGAAAGAGAGAAGATAAGCACACATGAATAGCATGGTGCTGGTGGAACCACCTGCAGATAAACAGCAAAGGTTTTTCTAATTCCACCTCCTCTGTCAGGCCTCAGCTTGGCACCGCCTCCTCCGGGAAGCCTTCTTGGGCTGTCTCTACTCTTGTGTTCACCCATACCACATTTTCTACATTATTTGTTCTGTAGATTCATGTTTTCCATACAAGAATACAACCTTCTGGAAGACAGGGACCTTGTCTGAGTCCCCACCAGGGTTCCATGGAGAGCATATCAAAATAAAGATCACCCTGACCTCTGTCTCCAACCCAAAGCTCTCTCCTGACCTCCAGGCCTGTATATCCCACTGCCTCCTAGACATTTCCCTGCAGATGTCCACCCTAAACGTGTCACTTTCTCCCCTAAGTCTGCTCCTGCTCTCAGTGAATGTCTCCAGCCTGCTCTGACTTCTGTCTCTCCCTCTCCCCTCACTGTCACCCAATCAACCACCCAGTACAACAATTCTATCTGTTAAATATCGCTCTGATCCATTAACTTGTTCTACCTGGTGCCTCTCTCCCCATCCAGAACATTCTTTCCTCTAAGCCTGGCCTGCAACACCTCCAATGGATCCTCCTGCCTGTCTCATCTTGGCCCCTTCTGACCTCCCTCCACAGGGCAGTCAGGTAAACTTTTGAAAATTATTAGTAATGCAGTAATAGTTTATTCAAGGCCAAATAAGCTTACTTGGCAGTGATCTAGACCTTCCCTTTTTAAAATGAAAATTGTGACTTGGAGATAATTATTGATTGACATGCAGTTGTGAGAAATAATAGAGTTTGTGTATACTCTTTAACCATTTCCCCCAAAGTAAAATCTTTCAAAACTCTAGTACAATATCAGAGGATACTGACATCAATACAATACACTGATCTGAATGTATTCCTATTTCCCAGTTTTACTTTGTACTTTGTGTGTGTGTGTGTGTGCGCGCGTATGTTGAATTCTACCCAATTTTATATCACATGTGCAGGTTCACGTATCTAACTGCCATATTCAAGACACAGGAGATTTACAGCAACACAAAGATTCCTCATGTTGCCCTTTTGTAACCAACTCACCTCCCCTCTCTCCCCCCTCTGCACGCAGCCCCTGGCAACCACTAAACCACTAATTGGAGCTTACTTCTATCATTTTGTTATTGCAAGAATGGTATATAATATAAATGGAATCATATGATCTATAACCTTTGGGGACTGGTGGTTTTCACTCAGCATAATTCCTTTGAGATCCATCCAAGATGGTGCAGTTTGTCCCTTTTTATGGCGGAGAAGCATTCCACGGTATGGATTGTCAGTTTAACCATCCACCCACTGAAGGACATTTGGGTTGGTTTGGACTATGATGAACAAAGCTGCTATAACCATTCAAATCCAGATTTTTGTGTGAACATAAAATCTCATTTATCTGGGGATAAACACCCAAGAGTACACTCGCTGGGCCATATGATAATTGTAGGTTTAGTTTTATAAGAACCAACCAAACTGTTTTTCCAGAGTGACCACACCATTTGATACTCTGACCAGCATGAATGAGTGATGGGAGATGGGGGAAGGGCTGTTGGGGACAAGGAGTTATGGTGCTGACCTTCCAGCTGCACATCTGCCAGCCAGACTGCAGGGCTGAGACCATGAGCGCGGAGACAGATTTGACAGCAGTCTGTGGCAGCTGCAACAGCGATCTTCTCCCTTGGCCTGCTTCCACCGCAGCTTCATCCGTGGTGGTCTTGGCCAACGTGCAGGAATCAGCCACTTTGGGGGACACATCCATCTTGGAGGACTTAGCCTCTTTGGGGGGCTCAACCAACTTCAAAGTCTCAACCACCTTGGAAGCCTTATCTACCTTCGAAACATTTTTCTTGGAATCAGTGTGTTCTATGACAGTTGACTTAGCTTTGTGTTTCCAGAAGAAAAGCTAAGACAAGGAGAGACAGGAGAGAAGAGCAGATCAAGAGACAACAGTGAGCAGAAGAGAAGACCCAGAGGAGAAGGGGCAGTGACTGTCCCGGCCTCCTCCCCAATAAGTCCTGTCCCTCACCTCCTCCTTCCCCATCTTGTTTGGCCACAGGAGGCCAGGAGGAGAGGGAGGCCAGGTGAGGGAGTGGGGGATGGGGTTCTGTGATCTAAAGGTCATGGACCAGTATTGCTCACCCCAGCATGTCAAGAGGAAGAGGCAGTCTCTGAAACTCACCCAGTGACTAATCTTGCGCCAAATCCATTGGAAAAACCTCACAACCGCAGCCATCTCTCCCGATACACAAGCCCCAGGTAGAGGGCAGAATCAGCATTTAGTTCAGTAGGGAAGGGGCGGGGGACAGGCTGCAGGCCAATGGCCGCCACCTAAGGGGTCTTTCGGGAGCTTCAAGCACAGCAGTGAAGAAAGAAATAGAGAATCCAGGAGGAAAGATCCCCACAGTGACTCACCCTAGGCCCTTCCTCCCCTCCCTGGGACAGGGAGAGGAGTCAAAAGTGGATGAGAACCCAGAGGGAGGGAGAATTCTAGCCCATTGTGAGAGCTTGCCTGGCCCTGACCCCCCAACCCCCGAGGCCTTTCCAAGACCCCCAGAGCCAATCCCTTCACCTTTGGCCTTTCTTCCCCCAGATCCAGGGAAGGGAACCTAACATTTACTGAGCACCTGGTACTCACTGGGCATTTCCCATGTGTGTCATGTAACCCTCCCAGTTGCCCGTCAGGTAGGTATTACCATCAGTGCCATTTTACCCATGAGGAAGACAAGATTCAGAAAAACCAAAGAATCTGCCCAAGTCGTAAGTCTTGTAAATCCTGGGAGCCCCAGGGCGGGAGTCCCACCAGGCCGGCCCCCAGTACCCTGCTCTCCGCAGGTCCCCGACTCCAGGGCTCTCCTGAAGTGGAGGCTGCCGCTTTCCCCCCTTCCCCACTAGATGGGGTCCTTCTCCCTACCTGCCTCTTCTGCCTGGGAGCCGAGCCGAGGCTGTCAAGGAGGGGACTGCTCACCCACAGGGCCCCATCCTCAGCCAGCTGGGGGTGGAAGCCACGGAGGCCAGCCAGGCCTGGCGAGGGCACCGTGTGCCCAGGGAGCCTGGCCCACACCCAGCGCTCAGACAAGGCGCCCATTCAAGGCCCCCCGCCCGCCCCCAAGCAACCACCCGGATCCAGCCCGCAGAGGGGACACGCTGGGAAGTTGGGGGTGGATCCGGCACAATCACCAAAGGCCTCATTGTTTCCCTGTCCCCCACCAGCACGTGGGCCGACGCCCCCCTCCCCCTCCACTCCCTCTGCCTCGCCTCGCCTGCCCCTTCCCAGGACCCAGGACGCTGGCTCCCTTGTCTTCCCACATCTCCACTCTGAGCCACGTTAGACCTCCCCAGGCCGGACAAAACCTCCAGGGGAGCCCGGAGACTGGGTTTTTCTCCCACATGTGGACACTGTTGGTGCAGGTCCCCCTGGACACAAGCAACGAGATGCCAACCTCCAGATTCAAGTTTCTTCGGATTTTTTAATTATAATTATTATTTTAATAACAACCTGAATCCCAGAACTTCCAGACACTGTCCATACTCCCTCCCCTCAGAGGAGAGGGGGGCACTCAAGGGAACAAGGTGGGGATGGGGTGTCTGCCAGGGAGCCTCCAACTCCCTCAAGCCATCTACTGCCAGGGGTCCCAGAGCACTGACACCTAGGGAGGGAGGAAGGAGGGCTCCATCTAACACCCCGTCCTGATGCCCTCCTTCCTCTGTCGATGCCCGGGGATGTCCCAACCCAGTCCCTGGGCACTATTGGGAGATCAAGGAAGGGTGGGGGGCAGGCCACCTCTGAGCCTTCAACTCCCATCCCTGGGGATCGGGGGCATTAAAGCTGCATAGGAAGAGGGGGCAGGCAGCTGGCGCAGGGCCCAGCAGCTGTGGCAGCCCCCAAAGGCACATTGTGAGGGAAGGGAGGCTCAGACGGAGGGCCCGTTGGGTGCCGGGGGCCCAAGCCGCAGAACCCCGGAGGAAGGCAGCTGGGCCAGCTGCTCGGGGCTGGCTAAGGCACGCAGCAGTCCATTCTCCTGCTCCAGCGCGGCATTCCGCTCAGCCAGGTCCCGGATCTGCTCCTTCAGCACCTCCACCTCCTCCCGGACCGCAAACATGAGGTGGGACTTCACCAAATCCTGGGGGTACGGGGACAGGCAAAACGTCAGGGGTCCCAGGCCACCCCAACCTCATCACCTGCCCAGTGCCTTGAGGAGCTGGGTGTGAGAGAGCCTCCTGCTCCCAGATGATGGGGGACCACTGGGGAAGAAGTAAAACGGAAGGGACAGGGCATGGGGTATGAGGGTGGGCATAGACGCTGGACAGAGGGAAGGCCAGAGCCAAAGACAGACATGGGGACCAGGAGCCAGGGTGGGAACCAAGAAACGTAAAGAGCTCAGGTGGAGGCAAGGGGGTGCAGGAACCCAACTAGGAGCAGGCTGAGGAGCTGGGAGTCAGTATTCCCTAATAATGAGGACAGCAGGGATGGAGCATTGGGCCAGCTAATGGACGCAGGGCCTGGGATTCAGCACATGAGTTGGGACCTGCTAGGACCAGAATGGCTTCTCTTACCATGGCTTGTTCGATCTTGTTGTCAATGCCAACCAGGCTTCCGGAGCCACTGGAGAGACACAGGGAGACGAGAGGTGAGGAGGAGGAGGAGCAGGAGGAAGAGGAGGAGCAGGTGCCAAGCCAGGTGTCTGGATACCCCAGCCTGCTGCCTTCCAGGTGCTTCTCAGAGCAGGCTCTGGCCTCCTCCACAAGCCCCATTCGCTGCAGCCTCCCACCCACATCCCTGCCTGTACCTGTGACAGTAGAGAATCAGGGAGAGAAGGGTTTTGTCCATCCCCCGGCGGGGTGAGGGCCGCTGTCCAGGCCCCCCTGGGCCCCGGTAGGGTGGGGGTCCAGATGGCCCTCGGATGGGGGATGCTCCCCGAGGGGAGCAAGGAGAGGAGACACAGCCCCTTTTCCGGGGAGGCCCTGGAGCCATCCCCACTACCCGGGTCTCATATGAGGACACCAGGGACTTGACAGAGACCCCTGGCTGGGCCATCCCCAAGGGTAAAGGGTCCTCAGGCCTCCCCAGAGGGAGAAGGCTATATCAGGACTGCCTGGGGGGCTCAAAGCCCCCCGGGCAGAGTAGAGTCTGGCTGGTGCCAGGCAGGCAGAAAGGAGACGGTTCCTAGGGGGTGCTGGCCTGAAAGATATACACCATCCCACAGGGCAAAGCCTGGCTGCTATTGGCTCCTCAGGGACACGGGGACCCCCTCCCGCCGGCTCCATGGTGGGCGGGAATTCCCAGACACGGTCAGTGCCAGTGTCCCCTTCTCACCCTGGCACCAATCCCAGAGCAGAGGGGAGGGGGTCGGCTGAGGAAAGTCAGCCGGGTTGGAGGAGGGGCTGCGGGGCCAGAGGCCTGGGCCAGGGAGGGGTGTGAAGGGTGAGGGAGAGACTGCTCCTGGGAAGCCTCTTCCCACCTCTGACCCCATCTTGACCCCTCTGGATGAACACTGGCCTCCCTCGAGGCCTCAGCTGCTCCCAGCTGGGAGGGAGGAAAGTGAGTGGAGCTGATGGGGAGAGTGTGTGTGTGTGTGTGTGTGTTTGTGTGTGGAGGGGGTGTCTCTAATGTGCCTGCAGTCTTCTTGGGACTATGAGCATCTCCCCAAAACACAAAGCCCATATCACAGGTGATCCATGGGGCCTAGCTAGAGGGTCCCCCATCTCCCATGGTAAGGGTGAGGAGGAATGAAAAAGGTTACCATGGCAACGGAGACCGAGCCTGCAAGACAAGCACAGTCTGTGAGCCTGGGACCCGAGTCTGGTGTCTGGGGCCTTGCAGGGCACAAGAGCTTGAGGAGAGGATGGGACGGTGAGGCTGCAGGTGGGATATTGGGACCAGGAGCAGGGGCTTTGAAGACCCCTGGGAGCGGAAGACAGGGAGAGCGGGTCTGGCTGCAGTTTGTTAAGTGGCCACCAGAGGTCGACTCAGGCCTGGCTCAACGGTCCCCAGAGCCAGTCTCTGGGTCCTGTACCTGGCTCTCCCTCAAGCCTGTCTCTCTGTGGCCCAGGGCCTGCACAGTCCTTTGCACCCTGTCCTATCCTCCAAGGCTCCCTCTCCCCACCACTCAGCCCATGTTCCTGCCTCACCCCATGTCTCACCACCCACCCTTGTCCAGCTTCTGCCTCAGCTGCCCCAGCCCCAGGACCAGCCCTCCACCCATGCCCCCCAGTACTGCAGGAGCATCAGTCCTGATCTCCAGCCCCCCGCTTCACCCCTCTCCGAGAAGGCGGCCCCAACCCTTGTGCTCCCTTATCAAACCCTCTCTCCTAGTTGTCAGTTCCAACCTGCTTCCCTGTGGGGGGAATTAGCACTCAATCCAAGGTGACCCTTGGATGAGGCCCTGTAGCAAGGAAGGGAGAACGAGGGCACTGGGAATTTTCCATTTCTCATCCAGGCTCTGGGTGCCGAAGGCACTGACAGGTGGAGTAACCAAGAGGGTGATCAGGCCTGAGAGAGCAGGACAGGGTGGGCTGGGGCAAGGACATCTGGGACTCCTGGGGTTGGGGGGAGAGGACAAGTTTAAGAGTGGAGGGTGGGCCAGCCAGCTGAAGAGTCAAAGCAGTTTTCAAGCTATTTCAATCTGAGACACTGGGGTGGAGACTGGGTGCCACAGAGTCCCCCTCCCCCAGGACACACAGAGACCAAAGAGGGGCAGATTCACAGGAATAGGAACACTGGCCTTGCTTGGCGGATGCTCAGTACAGATGCCAACTAAGTTGTTCCTGCTGGCCAGAAATAAAGGAATAAGACAACAATAAACATTTGTTGGCTAAAAGATGATTATCTCCTGTTTATCTAGTGCTGGAGAGTTTTCGACAGCACTTTTCCGCTGTCACATTCTAACATTAACACTTCAAGGGACCAGGACTCTGGCAACCCAAGCCCTCTGTTTGGACCGGCACTGTACTGGAATCCCTGAGCAGGGTCAGGAGCAGGAAGCCTGGGGTTGACTGGATGAGATCAGCTTTCACACAAGAACCCAAAGCAACTTTGTCAGAGAACAAAATGCCCCCTTCTTCAAGACACTTATTGCCATCTTCCAGAAAACTGTCATGACTTCAAGTGTCGACAGTGACTTCAAATGTAAGTGGCGCCCCCTGGAGCTGTGCAGTGTGAGACGTGCACAACAGGGGGCTCTGGCCCTGCAGGACTCTTAGGTCCTGGGACAAGGACAGCGGTAGAGGTTGGTCTTCCTTTTTGAAGGTCAAAGGAAACAGCCTCAAAATGAGGATAAGATAAAGAAGCAGGACACCTGGGAGAGGTGGGGAGGTTCTGATCCTGGGAACAAGGGCCAGCCCTGCTCCCTCACTGTGTTTTGAGGAGCCCCCAGGGGCTGGGCCTGAGGCCAACATAGTGGCATCCGGCTGCCCTGTCTACACTCCCTCCCGGATCTGTGGTGCCTTTGGGGCGGGAGGAGGGGCAGGGAGGAGGGGAAGATGGCTCCTTGCCTGGATTGGGAGAGCTGTCTCTGCTTCTGTCCTGGAGGGAAAGGGCATCCCAGAGATGGTTGCCTCCTCCTCTTCTCTTGGGACACAGGCATCCCAGTAGGAAAGTGGAGAGAATATGGCTTTGGGGTCAGACCTAGGTTCTGACAGCAGTCCTCCACTTACTAGCTGGGTGACCTTAGGCAAGTTTCTAAAATCTTCCTCCTCAGAGTCTCAGTTTCTTTATCTGGGAAGTGGGGATCATGGGGTTGCTCTTAGGATTATGTGAGATAAGAGGTAGCACCTGACCTCAAGGAAGCACTGGATAAATAAATGTACATTTTCTTTCCTGAGTTCCTGGAATTCATTCCGTACAACGCCTGGATCCCCCATGTGGGCCATCCAACCATCCCCTCACCCATCCATCAACTTATTCAAGTACCTCCCAACTGCCAGACCCTGTTGGGGACATGAAGGTTCTTACAACCCAGGAGCATGTGACCAGCTTGAACTTACCATGCACCCTCTGTTCTCCTATCCCCAGATTCTAGGATTGGTCAGGTATCCCCAACTTTGAGATTCAGGCACTTAACATCCCAACACACCTTCCCTCTCAAAAGGGAGGGTTCATGCCACTTAGACCCTGTTCTGCCAGCTCTGGGCACATAAGAGAGGTGCGGTGGGGGCTACACGCCCCATTCCAGGGGGCCAAGGAGGTGGCCCTGCCCAAATCCTCTGGCCCAGCAGGGTGGAGCAGAAGGGGCTGGGCTGGGCTTGAGCCCCAGAGGCTTGGAGCTCAGCAGGGTAAAGTGGAGGCTGGGAGGCGGACCGGTCAGACTGGGGTGTTCGAGGGGGTGGGACAGAAGGAGGAAGGGAAGGAGGGGACAAGGCAAAAAGAACAGAGCTGCGGAGGCTTCTGGAGGCAAAACTCTCTAAGAGAAAGCAGGAGGCTGGCCTCTGAAATCAGCAGGGGTGGGGGAGGGACGCGAGCCCTGTGCCAGGGAACCTCCCAAGTGGGAGGGGGAGCGGGTGGGAAGTGCTGAGAATAGCAGCGATGAGGGCAGGTGACTCTCTCGGCCCTGGCCGACCTCACACCTCACACATTCCTTAGAGCAAGGAGCCCAGAAGCGGCTGTGCCCAGCCTTGCTCTGTCCTCCATTCCCCACGGCCCCGGACCAGGCCCCTGGCCCTCCATCCCATCGCCTCCTATCACTCCCTCTCCTCTCTGGCTCCCGGCTGTCTCTCAAGGCCCCAGACCCTCTTCTTTGGTGGGACTCAGTCCCTGATTCTGGGGAGGGTGGCGCCATGAGAGCTGAAGGCAGGAAGGAGAGACGCCCCTCCGCCCCTCTAGACTAGGGCCCCCAGAACCCACTAAGCCCTGCCCCCTACTGCCTTCCAAACAGGAAGTCCCTCCGCACCGAGGGCTGCAAACAGGAAGTCCCACTCCTCCCTCCAAAATAAAAGGGGCGACTCCCTGGCACTTCTCATGGGTTCCTAGCAGTCCACAGGCAGAAGGGAGCAGCTTGGCTATATGACTTGCAATTTTGTTCCTCCCTTTCAGCTTGCTGACACTCCTGTGTTGAAACCTGGCCCTCGAAACAGGAAGTTCTGCCCACCGTGCCATAAACAGGGCATTCTCCCCTGAAGGGCAAACCTCAGCAGATCCTGCTCTCTTATGCCTCCCCTGCCACCAGTAGCCCACCTCTCCATAGCTTTGGCTTGGCCTTGGCTGCAGGGGAGGGCTCAGCCCCCTTGGTGATCCTAGTGCAGAGAACAAAATCTTAGAGACATGCTTTCTTGGTACTAGAGGTCCCGGGATCCTAAAGTAGTTGGCATGGACTACAAAGATGTTACCTCTAAAGACAGGCGTCCCATTCCCCTCCATAGGGAGAGGGAGAACTGGGAGGTGGCTGACTCCCTATTCTCCTCTCCAGCACATTTGCCAGTAAATTCTTAGGATTGGCCAGATGATCGCTAAATCTGCAAGAGCTCTGGAATTTGACAACAATGACTCCCTTCAAACTCTAAAAAAGTCTACGATTTTACAATCCTAGCCAGGGAGTTCCACCCAGCTCTCTCCACAGAGAGGGAGTAGGTCTCAAATCAACTTTGCCCAGTGTGTTATGCCCAAGCCAGGCTTTTCTGTTTAAGAAGTCCTCTCCAAGTTCAAGTTGGGGGAAGGACACCAGGCAGTTTCATGCGGCTATCCCAAATGCTGGGTGGGGAGCCTGAGCCCACCTACCTATCATCATCGCTGTCCAGGTGGCCACTGATGGCCAGCATGGAGCGGGCGAGGCTGAGGCTCTGGGCAGCCGCTGCTCCAAAGGGGTCTGGAGACTTGTGAACCAGACTGGCATCAGGGAAGAAGTAGAGGGCAGGGGAGCTGGGGCGAGAGTCGAGTGGGGGCACCTGGAGATAGAGAGGTAGGAACCATCACATCGAGCAAGAGAAAGATCCAGCCACCTTACAGTTTACCTAATGGTCTTCCTCCCTTCCCACCTCTCCCCACACATCCCCTGTCTTACAGGGACTTAGGACCCAGGCATCCTGCCCCTACAGCCCTTCTTTCCCCCAGCTCTGGGGAAGGCATTGGGCAGGTATTAGAGGCAAGGGAAACAGCAACCATCCTGAGGACTGGGTGAGTGGCTTCCAAAAAATGGCTCGTGGGGTACCAGAGAGCGGCTCTGGTCTGTACTCCTAAATCCTTCCACCACCTGAACCAGGACCCCTAATCAGAGGCCAGTCAGCGAGTGCCTGCCTTCTGTCACTTGACTTCTTAAAGCGACTCAAATATCACTTCCTCAGAGAGGCACTTCCCCATCCTTTGACTAGTGAATTCCAATGAACTCTGTTCTATTTTTTTTATAGCATCTAATATTACTGAAATTAAAGTATTTTTGCCTCTCTGCTGCTGGAAGGTAAGCTCCAGAGGACAGAGCTTATAATTTGTTCAATAGCTATTTGTAGAATGAATGAATCCTCAGAAACTGGTCCTCCACCTCCCTCCCCCCAACCCTCCTCTATCCATTCTAGCTTCTCATTCTCAAACTTCTCCGGACTCAGGTGAAGTTCTGCTCCCGCTGTCGGCTCTTGTGGGAAGGGATGGGGGGAGAGTGGTTTCTGGGATGGAGGGAGGCGGAGCCTGGGCAGGGACCCACACAGACCAACAGGCGCTGGGGGTGGCTGCAAAAGGGCGGGGGCCACAGGAACAAGACGCTTCTGTGAGGCCCCAGGAGGCCCCAGCTTCTCAGAAAAGCCAAGAACAGAGAGTCCAGGGTGGTTAGAGAGACAACACAGAGGAAGGGAGCCCAGGTAGTGCTCCCGGCCCTCCTCCAGGCCCCTGTTAGAGGTAACCTAGGAGAAGAGGCATGGGGGAGTGTAGAAGGAAGACAGACTTTGGGGCAGGGAAACAGCAGCACAGATGCATGTACTCAGGAAGAGATCATGGCGTGAGGGAAGGAAAGGGGGCTAGGGGCACAAAGGAAAGAGGGGCAGGGATTGCGGGCCCAAAGGAAGCTCAGGCAGGGCCTAAGGATAGAGAGGGCCAAGGTTGGGGGCAAACAGGGCTTGCTTTGGAAGAGTGTGGGGACAGGGACCAGTATAGGAAACAGCATCTTCTCCCCTGGGGTAGGAACTGAATGAAAGAACTCGAGAAAAGTTGGGGGGGTGGTATGAGAGATGTGAGTTTGAGGCAAGGAGGGGGTGAGGGGAGCCGGTCCTGACTGGTCTTGACAGGGCCCAGACACACAGTCTCAGGTTATTTTTATACTGTGGTTTGTGCCCAAGGCCTGGAAGGGGAAAAGTTCTCATCCTCACACCCTCTGCCTTTCCTCCTGTGTCCAAGGTGTTATTTTCTCCTTCAGGACAGACACATCCAACATCCCTGGCTGCCCGCCCCCCACCCCAAGGACCCAGGCCTCCTGCCCCCCAGCCCAGACTTGTTCCTCTTTTGGAGATAGGAAGCAGAAAGAGCAAAGGATTTAACTCTTTCTAGGCTGCTTCCCACCTCTCTCCCACTCCATGGTGGCCACCCCCAGTGATTGATCCTGGAGAGGCCCAGATGCAGGGAACTGAGACAGACAACTGGGGTAGAAAGGATGAACCAGCCAAACCCTTGTAAAGGGTCCCCTCACCCCAATTCAGTTCCTCAATGTCTCCGAGAAATTTGACTTTGGACAAAGCTGGAGATGGGGCTGGGATGGGTGACAAGAAGAAAGAAGGAAGACCTCTCCCCACCCCGGCCTGCCGTTGCCCACCGCACTTGGACATGGGACTGCAAAGGAGAGATTTACAGTGGAATGCCAACTTTTTACCCCTCTCCTCCAACCCTGGCAGCTCCCCTCCCAAAAGCCCAACCACCCTAGCCCTGCCTGGGGCCTCTATCCCTGAATGCCTGAAGAAGTGAGGCCAAGACAGAAGGTGAAGGCCAAAGGGAAGAAGTCACATCTCCATGATGGAGAGACAGGACTGGGCTACTTGATGGAGACTTGGACCAAAAGCAACAAATCAAAGGCCAAAGAGAAAGAAAGTGTAGAATGTGGGGAAGAAGGAACCTAAGAGAGAAAACAAGGACCATGTGAGGAGTAGGAATGAACTTCTAAGTGAGATGGCAGGCAGGAAAAAGAGGAGCTGTCTGATCTGACAGACAGG